GGTGCCCCTTCATCCCCAAACAGAACCTGACCCATTGCTGTAACACTGATCTTTCTGAAATTATTAACTTACATCTTGTTATATTCCGAAAGCTTAAAAAGCCACATCCAGAAATATTTTAAAAACTTTTTCAGACACTAACTCGCATCCTGGCAGAAACTGCCTGTGCCAGATTAACTTGCCGTGACTTTTAACAACCTTAATCATTCAACAATGAAAGCAAATGTTCCGGGCCGTAAGGGCTCCTACGACTGTATCACACTTTCCCCACAGACTTTTAACTTTAGTTAATACCTGGCCCTGATGACTCTGCACTTAGAGCACCTACAAATACGTTTACAGCACAGAGAAGTAGAGAGAAGGAAGTGGAAACGAAGAGGCATTACGTGTGATTCTGCAAGTATTAGTAGGTTAGGGAAAGTCTTCCCCCTCACATAGGTGGATGTTGACATTTAAACTGGAAGCCTTAAAAAATAACTTTAATAAAACTGACATCATTTTCCTCTTCCACAATTTCATCACCAAGTCTTATTAATATCCTGGCTCTTAAAAAAGGTCACACAGGCAGGTACCACGGCTGTATACGACCAGAGAATTGCACACCCACCTTGCTAAATTAGTCATTTTCTTGTGCTGTGACAGCATTACTGAACTGCACATGATGCTTTTCATCCGGCGAGATCTCGGTGTTTTACAAAAGGAAGCAAATGCTATTCCCTCTTTACAGAGGAAGGTGGAGGCACTTCCTAGGCCAGTGGTTTATCCACCACCGCTCCGGCGATGTGCAGCAGTGAGCCACATGGATACCCTAAAACGGACTCTGCAGTTGGCTCCATCAAGCTTGTGTTTACTTCCCTCTATAATGACAGTGTCCTTTGCATGATCATTTTTAAACTGTTAAGGCCTTCAGAAAAAAAATCATGTCACTTGTCAAAAGCCCGTCTAATTCAAGGGAGAGTAAATAAAGGGTTTTCTGGCAAAGTGAAGGATCAAATCCTTCTCTTGGAAACAGTCTTGCGTCCTGATTCCTGTGGGACTACAGGGTGGAACTGAAAAGAGCATTTGGCCCACAGGTGAATTTTTAATAAAACTGTTAATGAAATTGTGGACGTAACTGTAGGAAACTTTTTGGATAAACTGCTTGCAAGAATGAGACTTTTGTTATTAAACATCCCAGCCACCAGCAGACGGTCGTTATTTGTCCCCAGGCCCAGGAATGAGCTAGCACGCAGCGGTGGGAAGGCGCTGCCGGTGCAGCGATGAGGGCAGGATGTTCTGCTGCAGGGCAGAGCGAGCGGCGCCGCTGTCCACCCTGAGGAGACCACGCACCTTCTTACTGCGTTCTGAGTACATTTTAATACTTCCTGTTATTTTCAATTTACCACAAAGATGATTGAAATTTGCAATCTCAATTATTTTGTATAAAGATTTTTCATCCTGTTTTTTGGTAATATTATGAGTTTCCTTAGCCTCTGTTCTGCAAACAGCGCCAGGCTTGGTGCTTACAATATCCTCCCAGTACCGTATACTGACAAGATTAAATTTCCTGTGGGTATATAGACTTCCAGTATATCAGCTTTACAAAGGAAATATATATCCTACCCATGGAGCTGGCTATCTTTTTAGAGGTTTTTTCCTTAGGTGTATTTGGTTTTAAACTAAACTGCCCTTTCGAAGTCTAGAAAAATGTTTTGTTTATTCTTGCTTTGCTTGACATGTTTGTCTCCTCCTGAGACAAAAAGGTAGAAGTTTAATGGAATTTTTTTTCTGGGAAATCTTCAATAAGCACAGCGTGTGTGTAGCAGAGGGACGCGTGAAAAAGAATAATGTTCTATCATCCAGGCAAGCCTAAGAGCTGAGTCACACCAACAGCTGTGTGAGCAGAGTTTATGCTGCTTTGCTTCTTCATGAAAACATGAACATAGCTGCTCGTAGCAATGTGAGGAGAAAAAAGTTCTGGAATTAATTCCAGTATTTCTCTTAGCAGTTCAACAAAGCACCACAGCATATACTCACTTGAAGAAGGGCTATGTCTGGATGCCAGAAGCGGCCCTCCTTCCCATCTATTATTCAATATAGCTATCATCTCTTCAGTATTGTATTTGCTAATGCGTAATCATGTCGGGGGGCAGCCACCCAGGGCAGCTGTTCCAGATGTGGAACTATTACCTGTGCGCACACAGCACAGGAAGGTGTCAGACTTCAGGCATTCACTGATGAATAATAACCTCCTCGGCAGCTTCCAGGCGGCCACAAGGTACCTGGCCGTGAACGCTGCTGTAAACGCAGCAGAGCAACAAGCCAAGTGAAACATCTAGGGAACCACCTCCGCTTTTTATTTTTCATTTTCAGCTAGGACTCACCCCCAGTGGTATTCCCCAAGTTTCTTTCACAAGGAAGAGCCAACAGATTTGCATCTGCAACTTTCTCTCTTCTGACCGAATCCTAGTAGATGGGGTTGCAGCATGTGATTTCACAGTGTCAGGGGAAAAGAGGACCTCCTTCTGATAGCGAAACTTTTCTTTGTAGAAATCTTTACTGCACCGGGAGCATCTTAAAAGGATTTGCATACATTACTTAACATGCCTTCTGTGAGCCTTGTGCTGTAGGTATCAGCTGCGTTTGAGAGCAGCTGGAGGGCGAGGCACAGGGGCTTGCTCCAGGTTTCCCAGTGGGGTTCAGGAGGAACTTCCAGCCTCCTGCTCCCCGACTCAGGGCGGCGGGTCTCCCCCAAGCAGACAGAGGCGTGGAGAGGGCATTTTTCACTGGGATCGCGCTCTGGCTTGGCAGGAGTTTCTGTCGCTGTGTCAGATAGCCATAATCACACCAGTTTCGGGAACTAACTACGCAGATTCTCCTTTTCAGCTGTCCTGGGGGGAAATCTGCTCCCTCGGGCCTTTCCTTAGTCAATTCCCCATCCCCGTCGCCGCGGGTTGGTGCCGCTCAGCCTCCCCGGGGGCTGGGGGAGCCCCGCGGCGGCCCTTCGCCGGGCCGCGCTCCCTCGGCCGGGGGAAGGCCCGCTTCTCCCCGGCGCCAGAGGCGCATTTCGGGTTTCCCGCTCCTCCCGGCCTGAGCGAGGCAGCAGTCACCGAAATTCAGGCGAGCCGCCCGTCTGCCTTTCCTCTCCCTGCGGCACGGGCGGCC